TAGAACTCGATAATTATTCTAATTATATTTTAGATTTTTTATATTTTGAAATAAGATATTTATCCTCTACTTGATTATATTTATCCACAATTAGTTATACCTACGCACAATTTACTTGTAATCAGATATGGAGCTTTAATAAGTTGTATTTACGTACAATTTACTTGTAATATTGAGTTTTAAGTAATATGCATTAATAAACAATTTATTTTTGGTTTAATATTATCTATACTATATTATAAAGCATTTGACTAAAACTCTTAAAAACTCTTAAAACTCTTAAACTCTTAAACTCTTAAAACTCTTAAACTCTTAAAAACTCTTAAACCAGATTTCATCTCATATTTGAATTCGTGTAACTAACTGCAGATAAATACAATAAAATACATGATAAACATCTAATTTTAAATATAAAAAATCTAAAATATAATTAGGATAATCATTGAGTTCTAACAAAATACTTAATTATTATCTTTATAAAATGTTATGTTATTAAACCAAAAATAAATTATTTCATTATTAAACTTAAATTAAATTATAAAAAAAATTTATACTATATTATAAAACATTTGACAAAAATTCTTAAAAACTACTTTTTATGCGTAAAGTACTATTTATAATGCATATTACTTAAAACTCAAGATTACAAGTAGATTGTGCGTAAATATTAAAGCTCCATATCTGAATTCGTGTAACTAATTGCAGGTAAACATAATCAAATACAAGATAAACATCTTATTTTAAATATTAAAAATCTAAAATATAATTAGGATAATTATTGAGTTATAACAGAATACTTAATTATTATCTTTATAAAATGTTATATTATTAAACCAAAATTAAATTATTTCATTATTAAATTTAAATTAAATTATAATAAAAAAATAAATTCCAGAAATTACATAAAAATTACTTTTAAATAGTTGATTTGACAATTAACATTGATATATATATTTTAAAAAATTTATAATATCTTCAAATTTATATTGTATTCAAAAATAAAACCATTATTGTTTTTTTTAAACACATAATCTATACTATATTATAAAATATTTGACAAAAACTCTTAAAAATAATTTTTTATGCACGGAGTATTATTTATTGATGTATATTACTTAAAATTTAAGATTACAAGTAAATTATGCATAAGTATAACTTATTAAAGCTACATACTTGAATTCGTCTAACTAACTGCAGATAAACATAATCAAATATTAGATAAATATCTCATTTTAAATATAAAAAATCTAAAATATA